ACCCCTTTAGGGAATGCTGATGAATTTGGGTCCCCCTATAGCCCTGCACAGTCAGTCATTCAGCATTTTCCACAAAAACTTTCATCCAGAGACAGAGATCAGTCCTTGAGCGTTTGTTTTGTTAATTTATTGAGGGGATTAGAACTTGGATAGGGTAAGGGGGGTATAGGATGCCAAAGGGAAGTGAAATCTGAGGACAGCTTCCTGAACTATGCAGAAGTTTCTCAGCAACACATGGCTTAGAGGAGTGCTAGCTAGCAGCTCCTAGTTGTGCCACCCCAGACTCCAGATGAACTCCTTTTCCCCCAGCAATCTGGAGACTTCCCTTCCTGAGCAGGGGATCTGGCTCCTGTCCTTTTAAATTAGGTGCACAGTCACTAGTAGGGGCTAATCTGGTTTACCACCACAGTGCTCCTTTCCCTATCCGCCTGGGGGAGCAGGTGTACTCACTCAGATCCTTTCCTGTACAGCTTGCGGGATGGCTGCTGTTACCAGGCCTATCAGCTGGGCTGCTCCTTCCCTGCCATACAGGTGGCCCTCGCTTAGTTGGCCAGTGAGTCTCCAGCTCCAGGCTTGCAGGCATTCTGGCAGCCTTTCAGCTCCAGCCTCACATCTTCCTGCTACTCTCTACTCCTCACCCTCTACACTCCTGCTACTGAGCAGGCTCCAACACATTTAAGGGGGTCCCAACCCCTTGCCAAGCCATCTGTTGGGGATTGGATGAAGTCCCTCAAGAGTTCAGTCAGCCACTCCTCAGATCCAACCACTGCTCCCAAGGCCCTCCCCCTTGAAAGCCTCAGAGCAGGGGGATATTCCAGAGGGGCTGGCCTTCAGAGTCTCTCAGTCCCGACCAGAATTTTACACCTTTGGCTATCTCACCTGAGCTTCTAACCAGCTCCTGACTAACCATTGGAATCCAACTCCCCCTAGATAAACTAGGAGGGTGCTACACTGATATAGGTGATTTGGTTCCCAAGCAGGTGACTTCTACACCCCAGAGAATCTCCATGGTCTCCTTGGCTTTTAAAGTAAAGTAACAAAAATGTACATTGAAGCACTGCTAAAAGGCCCAGATACAAATATAGTCCAATTGAAAGGATAACTAATGTGTTTTGAGTGTCCAAAATGGCCCCTTTTGTCAAACTTTAAGAGTGAAAGTAATATACTGTAAACAGACTAGAAGTGAACTTGACCTATAATGGTATTTTTTTCTAATGTGATTACAAGCACTGGTCTTGTCAGCAGCTAGTTTTGCCAGCAACCTTCACTTGATTGGGTGATTGACTGTCCCACTGTGCGTGGATTTTGTGATAGCCAAGAGATCAAGTGTCGATGGATACCAGCTCACTCAAGTCACTAATCTGGCAAAACAAGTGTTTATGCAATAATTTCATAAGATTAGCCTGGACTGGCAATGAATCTTATTAACAGTTACCAACAAGCTCCCCATGGAAGTAGTTGGGACTGGACGAAAGTGGAATTGTGGGAGAGACTTCAGCCAGAAGGGCATAACGGTCACAAATACTGTATCTCTGGAAGGGGGCAGTCCCTTAGGTGATGCTGGGCATGAATGTCATCCAGTTGTTGAGAGCAGAGATGCTGAAGGGGCACCCTACACATTTGGGCCTCCTTAAGGAAATGTAAAAACATCTGCATACAGAGGAAGCATTGGAGGGCCCCAAAGTGTGCCCTGCAGACATCTGGGAAAATCTGTCATTGCTAGGATTCCCTTTTGCACAGAAGTTGTAGTACCATTTAAAGAACTCATACTGTCTATGAATGTAGGCTCTTGACAAGGACTGCAGGGCTTCATAGTCTTTGTGGAACCCTTGCCTTCATACGTGGCTCCCTTTGTTGCCAGGACAGTGGTCCAGCAAGGGACTATACTAGTTAAAAACAGTAAAATCAAAACACTTCCACTTCACTTGTTCCCAAAGACAGCAGTGATAGAATTGGCTCTAATCACAAATTCTGGCTGCATGAGCATAGGCTCAAACCCAAGAAGCATGGGATAAAGTTTCTAGGATATTTCATCTCTAGAAAAGGCATACTCTCCAATGTTGAGGAAAAAATTCCATACAGGAACGAAGGTCCCCAATGACCATAATCAAAGTCAGAACTGTTCTGAGGTGGGCAGGATATTATGAGCCCAAGAAGGATATTTCATCAGGTACTATGCCCATCACTCTGCTCCAATTCAAAAGCTCCTACATAGGATAGGTCCAAAGTGGGGCCACATGATAGTGGAATAGGGTTTGGAACAACATGAGTTTAATTTTTTGAAGCAGTTGATGTCAGTTCCCGTGCTGGTCTTTGCTGACCTCTACCTTCCATTCTGGCTATGCCAATACTCAGGGTTTGTGTTCGTACTCCAGTAAGTACAAGGTGGCCAAGAAATGGTCAATGCCTATACCAGTTGAAGCCTATTGTACATGTTACTGAGTGAACCCTGCAAGCTACAACTTCTTAATTCTGGAACCATTGGAGTTGGTGTGAGCAGTCACTGAATGTCTTACTCCCCTCTTTCATCACTGGGGCAATTATTTCTATTGTTAAAATACTATAATTTTTTATTATGGCCACAAAAATTAGAGAAGGAGGCAGGAGTGAAGAAAAGCAGCCTTCAACCATAACTTTGGAAGGTAAATACTGCTATTATTTTTCTATATGAGCACAAAGAGCCAGAGGCTTTGTCATTTGCTGCTGGTTTTAGTAACACTTTAGGAAATTTTGTGTCTTATTATTGTAATATATTTCTACATTTGGCACTGTCTTGGTGTACCTTGAAATCTTTAAGCAATGATATTACATTTTCTTGTCTCACCTTCTGTTTCATTTTTATTTTCATTCGTATTTGGTTCATGCAGGTATTTATAGACATTACAGATCCATGTGAATTTGAAGAGCCTTTAATACATTAATTATTCTTCAAGCCTATATCTTTTCTGGAATTAAAGTATATCTAAACCCAAAACTTTTTTTTTAAATTTTCATACAGTAGGCAAAGATTATATTCTCTGTAATTTTCTTATTGCTCTGTGTGTCCCTGATAGGGAGATTCATCCTCTCTTTTTGTTGTGGTGACCATTATCACTGGGAAAGAAAGCGATTGGAAAATTTAAACTTTGGAGTTTGCACGAGAACAGGAGTAAAGGAAAACATTCCACTGGGGATACTGTTGCTGCAAGAGAATTTTACACAGTCTGAGGGAATTTGCTATCACTTTCCATTGTGGATATAAGGTGAAAGGAAATCTCCCCAATGCAACATAGATGTCAATAAAAAAAATTTACATGAGTTTTAACTATTCCATGCTGTAGCCAAAATGAGAAATAATTTTGGCTTTAGATGTATTTCAAAACTCATCTCTGGGCTCCCCCTAACCCCCCAAAAACCATGTACCTCTATAACTGAATGCTGGCATTAAACTAAAACTTAAATGCCTTTTTACTTATTTAAAGCTGTGGTCACATAAGGCTCCAATTCTGAATCTTCTCTCCTCTTCCGTTACAGGAGGTGGGGTCCTTCTTTGGGTGTTCACATCACTGCTTGCATAATCTAGATACTTCCTATTGGTTTTCCAGAGGTGGGATCTATTCAGGATCATGTGGAGATTGTTGAGGACTAGTTGGCATGGATACATCTGGATTAGTGGTCCCTCGTCCTCTGAAACAATGCTGGCAAGGGACCCAGACAGCAGACTTAGGTGAGCATATCTTTCTTCACAAGGTAAGCAAAAATGTGTAGAATGGGTTAGAGTGGGGTTGTAAGGGGTTCATGTTTTTCCAGAGATGGGAAAACAGACAGGGGTAAGCCAGGACAGACAAATACATAGCAGCACTGCAATTTCATATTAATGCCATTTTTCCCATATACTATGAATGATGAGGTATATCATCCATCAAATAAACAGTGTCTTAAATAGGGTCTCTTTTGCACCTAAACTGCCTCCCCCTCCCCATATAATTCATCCATGTGCCAGTAGACTTTTGGCTCCACTGACTGACCAAGTATGAAATGCAGGCCCTCTCCTTCCCATATTTTGGTGTCCTCTCTGAAAGAGTATTCAGTGCAGCAAGTGGCATCCCCAGCCCAAGGTCCAACAGCATGTTCACCGCATATATAGAAGGACTAATCTTTGTCAAAATCATATGCTATGTTTCCAAGTATCTCTACTTGATATAAAAGCGAAGGATCAGGTACGTAAAACATTTTTTCTTGTTCCCGTATACCTAAACCCTAACAAGCATTTTTACTTTCCCTAGAGTTCAGTGATAAACTTAGTTCAACTAAGCAGCTATTGGTTCAGACCAGATTCTTCTTCAACTAAAACTGCTTGTTTAATAAATCACTGTAATGCTGTTTTAGGATGATAGGGTTCATGTCAACATTAACCTGTTAACCTGTAGAAGGTTTAACATCAAGATTGCTCTTAAACATCCCTTGACTGGTAGCGGTGGCAGAACCTTTATGGGAAATTATGCTTTTATCATTGGGCTTACCCTGCTAAGACCGAGAAATAACAGAGGTACATGGACCACATTACAAGGCATAGGTGGTGATGATGATCCCCCTATATTACTACAAGGAGAAGACCTAGAGACCCAAGACAGTGGTACATTATTCCGAAGCGCTTTATGAGAATTATTCCCCTTATGAGTTTTATGAGTACAGTACAACTCTTAACATACAGTGATAATTCTAGTTTGTAAGTAATCTCTTAGATTGTAAACTCCAAGGAGTAGGGCCCTCCTAACCCTCTTGTATTGAACTGTAGTGTTGCCGTATTGTCTCCCTTTATATTGTAAAGCACTGAGCAAACTGTTGGCGCTATATAAATCTTGTATAATAATAAAATTAATTAGAGATGAGCGAATTATTCAAAAATTTGATTCGGCTGATTCGGCGAATTCGCGGAATAAATTCGATTCGAGTCGAATATATTCGCTGCGAATTTAACTTATAAAAAGGGTGTTTCTAGGCTTCAGAGAGCCTTTATATATTAGTGCAGAACACTGTACCTTTAATTTAAATGCCCTTGGAGTCTGCTGGGGAAGAGAAATAATACTGTCAGTCAGTATGACATGCAGATGAGTGCCGTCGATCTTAGAATCACCGCACACTTCACTCATTTGGGCAGTCACGGGGCCAAAACCAGAGTGTGGAGCCACAGTGTGGCGGAGGAGGCAGCAGCAATGGGAGGCCATACAGCACCCTATGACAAAATGGAACCCACCAGCAGTGTGAGGAGACCTGAAAGTGTGGCACATGGCAGAGTGTGGCGATGGAGACAGCAGCAATGGGAGGCCGTACAGGGACCCATGACACACTCTGGACCTGGCAGCAGCATGAGGAGGCGGTACAGGGGCCCATGACAGATTACGGGCCTGGCAGCAGCATGAGGAGTCGGTACGGGGGCCCATGGCAGATTACGGGCCTGGCAGCAGCAATGGGAGGCCATACAGCACCCTATGACAAAATGGAACCCACCAGCAGTGTGAGGAGACCTGAAAGTGGCACATGGCAGAGTGTGGCGATGGAGACAGCAGCAATGGGAGGCCGTACAGGGACCCATGACACACTCTGGACCTGGCAGCAGCATGAGGAGGCGGTACAGGGGCCCATGACAGATTACGGGCCTGGCAGCAGCATGAGGAGTCGGTACGGGGGCCCATGGCAGATTACGGGCCTGGCAGCAGCAATGGGAGGCCCGTAATCTGCCAGCACCCTATGACAAAATGGAACCCACCAGCAGTGTGAGGAGACCTGAAAGTGGCACATGGCAGAGTGTGGCGATGGAGACAGCAGCAAATGGGAGGCCGTACAGGGACCCATGACACACTCTGGACCTGGCAGCAGCATGAGGAGGCGGCGGGGTACAGGGGCCCCATGACAGATTACGGGCCTGGCAGCAGCATGAGGAGTCGGTACGGGGGCCCATGGCAGATTACGGGCCTGGCAGCAGCAATGGGAGCCCGTAATCTGCCAGCACCCTATGACAAAATGGAACCCACCAGCAGTGTGAGGAGACCTGAAAGTGGCACATGGCAGAGTGTGGCGATGGAGACAGCAGCAATGGGAGGCCGTACAGGGGACCCATGACACACTCTGGACCTGGCAGCAGCATGAGGATGAGGAGGCGGTACAGGGGCCCATGACAGATTACGGGCCTGGCAGCAGCATGAGGAGTCGGTACGGGGGCCCATGGCAGATTACGGGCCTGGCAGCACATGCAATGGGAGGCCGTACAGGGGTGCCGTACCCATGACACACTCTGGACCTGGCAGCAGCATGAGGAGGCGGTACAGGGGCCCATGACAGATTACGGGCTGGCAGCAGCATGAGGAGTCGGTACGGGGGCCCATGGCAGATTACGGGCCTGGCAGCCAGCAGCAATGGGAGGCCCGTAATCTGCCAGCACCTATGACAAAATGGAACCCACCAGCAGTGTGAGGAGACCTGAAAGTGGCACATGGCAGAGTGTGGCGATGGAGACAGCAGCAATGGGAGGCCGTACAGGGACCATGACACACTCTGGACCTGGCAGCAGCATGAGGAGGCGGGGGGTACAGGGGCCATGACTGATTACGGGGCCTGGCAGCAGCATGAGGAGTCGGTACGGGGGCCCATGGCAGATTACGGGCCTGGCAGCAGCAATGGGAGGCCCGTAATCTGCCAGCACCCTATGACAAAATGGAACCCACAGCAGTGTGAGGAGACCTGAAAAGTGGCACATGGCAGAGTGTGGCGATGGAGACAGCAGCAATGGGAGGCCGTACAGGGACCATGACACACTCTGGACCTGGCAGCAGCATGAGGAGGCGGTTACAGGGGCCCATGACAGATTACGGGCCTGGCTAGCAGCATGAGGAGTCGGTACGGGGGGCCCATGGCAGATTACGGGCCATGGCAGCAGCAATGGGAGGCCGTACAGGGACCCATGACACACTCTGGACCCGCTATGGAGACAGCAGCATGAGGAGGCGGGGGGGTACAGGGGCCCATGACAGATTACGGGGACCTGGCAGCAGCAATGAGGAGGCGGGGTACAGGGGCCCATGGCAGATTACGGGCCTGGCAGCAGCAATGGGAGGCCCGGTAATCTGCCAGCACCCTATGACAAAATGGAACCCACCAGCAGTGAGGAGACCTGAAAGTGGCACATGGCAGAGTGTGGGATGGAGACAGCAGCAATGGGAGGCCGTTACAGGGACCCATGACCACACTCTGGACCTGGCAGCAGCATGAGGAGGCGGTACAGGGGCCCATGACAGATTACGGGCTCTGGCAGCAGCATGGTAAAGCAGTCGGTGGGCACCATGGGGTCGGTCGGCGCCATGGCAGATTACGGGCCTGGCAGCAGCAAATGGGAGGCCCGTAATCTGCCAGCACCCTATGACAAAATGGAACCACCAGCAGTGTGAGGAGACCTGAAAGTGGCACATGGCAGAGTGTGTGGCGATGGAGACAGCAGCAATGGGAGGCCGTACAGGGACCCATGGACACACTCTGGACCTGCAGCAGCAAGAGGGTAGGCGGTACAGGGGCCCATGGCAGAGTGGCGAAGCGTAAGCAGCTTAAATTGAAGGCCATACAGAGGTCTATGTTACAATTAATTAACATGTTTTGGGGCATGATTCATGGCGGATTTAGTCAGTTGTGTCATGGAACTGGTGGTTTGAAATCCAGACTAATCCACGCCTGATTCATTTTCACAAACGTGAGTCTCTCTTCCCAACACTTTGGGTGGACAGTCGTGTCCTCCGCGGAGTACAATACTCTCCTGCCGCACTAAACACGCGCTCCGATGCCACGATACTGGCCGGGCATTGACAGCCTTTCAAGGGCAAAATTCAGCTAGTTGGGGCCACAGGTAAAGGTTAGTTCGTGTCTACCTGGGTTTGGGCAGGGGCTGTCCAAGTAGACCCAAGCCGTTGTTTGAGGCCCCTGCTCCGGTCCACCTGATGCTGCTGCGCTGCGGCTGGTTGTATTTCCTCACTGCGTGGGAAGAAAGCACTCATCATCACGCAGACTGAGGCGCCGCTGCGGTGGAGCGCCACTGCTCCTCCCACCCCACCCCCCCCCTCTCCATGGCAGCGGAACGCACGCACGGGGCCCCACAGGTCTGAGGAGGGACGTTGGCGCAAAAAGGGCAGAGACCAACGACTACAGGGGGTTTTTTTATAGTACGTTATTTTGACCTCCCCTCAGCAGGTGTAAAAAGCCACCTTTTTTAAAAAGGGTAGCGAGGCCAACAAGGTGGCACCCCAAAAGCATTCCTCGTCTAGGGTTTTTTTCGGCTGTCACTACCAAGAAAACCGAGCTGCAAGGCCATTTGTCCCAAAGGGAATCGAGGGACTCCCTCCTCCATCTCCCAGCATAGCCACGGTGGGCGGGTCCTCTGTTCCTCCTCCTCCCCCTACCAATGTCCTCTCCTTCACTCCTGTCCGCTGAGTGGAAAAAACCACCTTTTTCACTCAATAATTCCGAGCACCAATGTCCCCCCCTTACCCCCTCCTCTTCTTCCGCCCTGCCCCCCACAGGGTCATGTGGCGTTGAGATCTTGCCCACGTCTACCCCACCCTGACAGGGCCATTGTTAAAACATTTGTTCCCGGACGTGCAAAAGAGGAATACGTCGTTCTACCCCCTAGTCCTGCCGACTCACGAATAGCGTGGCCTCCTAAAAAGGGGGGACAAGCGGCAGTGCACGCATGGGGTGCCAAGGTGACATCTAATTTCACAGGGGAGTAAATTTATCCCTTTTAACATCAGGAAATCGGGGATGGCCTTTCGCTGTTTATAAAGGCGGTCTAACTATGTAGGGTTGAAAATTTCCCCCTGTTGCAACTCCACAGCATGAGGAGTCGGACGGGGGCCCCCCGATTACGGGCCTGGCAGACAAAGGAAAAGGGCCCCTAATCTGCCAGCACCCTTTTCAAAATGGAACCCCCCAGCAGTGTGAGGGGACCCGAAAGGTTGGGACTGGGAGAGTGTGGCGATGGGGACAGCAGCAATGGGGAGGCTACAGGACCCATGACCACCTGGACCTGGGAAACAGATGAGGGGGGCGGTACAGGGGCCCAGACAGATTAAGGGCCTGCAGCGCTGAGGGTCGGGGCGGGGGCCCTGTCAGATTAGGGGGTGTCACACAATGAGAGGGCCCAAAATCCGCACCTTTACAATATGGAACCCACCCGCATGTGGGAGACCCGAAAGTGGCACATGGCAGAGTGGGCAAGGAGACAGCCAATGGAGGCCGCAGGGACCCCCTGACACACTCTGGACCTGGCAGCAGCATGAAGGGGGTACAGGGCCCATGACAATTAGGGCCGGCAGCAGCAGAGGGGTTGGTAAAGGGGGGCCCCTGGCAGATTACGGCCTGGCAG